CCCCCCCCCCCAAAGGCTCTTGGTTTTCCCTGTTCACAAATTTTTCCACAACTAACCTGCGTGAGCACATCCAGCTGGTCAACAATGTGCTCCAGAGTTATGCTCAACTTTGGAGGAATATCTCTCCTTTCCAGGGGTGTAGTGAGGGCCCTGGCAGAGGCTGTGTAGCTGGAATGCCTCCCAAACCATCAGCCTCCCCTGAATCCTCCCTGCTACTTCATCTAATTTGCTCTGTCTCTGAAGAGTGAGAATTTGCAAGACAACATCTTGGTTAACTTGGCTCTTAAACTAAACCAAGTAAGTTGGAAGGGTTTCTCATGAACTTTACATCTTAGCTATCAACTGATGCAATCTGGCAAAGTAAAAAAAATAATCCTAAATAGCCTACTTCAGCCAAAGACGAGATTTTAATACAACAAAAAAGATAACTTATCCATTACTCATGCAGCCATTCTTGTTGAAGAGTAACACACTTTTGCAAATCAAACAAGTAAAATTTATTCACAATGCATTCAGTAAGATATCATTTCAACAATGGTCAACACTATTTGAACCTAAAGGAGAACTGCACTCAGTTCATGAGTACAGTGAAAAGTATCCTATAATATCAGTAATTCATTCAATCAATTTATATTTCATACTATTTAAAGGAACTTGTTCATGAAAACTCCTGCCTGCATGGAATACCTTAATAGCAATTGCAACTTGATGCAATCAAAACACTCCTCAGTCTATAGACGGTTTCTAAATACATATCAAATGCAATTCCTGCAAAAGCAGATAAGGTGGGTAGATGCTATGCTTTTATCTCCTTAAACGGAAACTAATAAAAGCGGTGCATTCAGGGAAATTGAAGTTTGGGAAAGTAAAAATCACTGAAAAATCTTACTGAGGTGACAATCGTTATTTATCAATGGGGTTGGATATAGAGGGGGCGGGGGGAATCAGCTGTGCCAACAGAGTTTCAAGCAGCTCACAAAAGGAGGCACACCAACAACTGACAGTC